CGAAACAAAACGCCTTGAGATACCAACACAGAGTTTTGTTGATTATTTTATTGGTCTTTCGAAGACTGTATCGGGTGTCAGGAGGTGCCTTTGTTTCAATCTAGACGAATCTGGATATCAAAAATGTGCTGACCGCAAAAAGCTCAAAGTCTTGTGGAATAAAGATGATATCAAAGTGCTGAAAGTTGGAGTTCAACGTAATGTCAGAAGAAGCACCTTTCTCGCTTGTATCAGCGGAGAAGGACCAATTCCAGGAATTCTAATTACTCCGACCTCAACTTGTACTCAAACGCTTGTTAATTCTGGGCTTATTGGCCATGTACTTTTAACAAAAACAGAGACCGGATTCATAAACAAATCAATTTTTATGGATTGGGTCTTTTCCGTGTTTATCCCGAAAATTTACGAGAAATGAATGGAACTCGGAGTTGGTTTTTATGAAAAAGCTGTTTTGCTTATTGATTCGTGTTCTTGCCATGATGTTGAAGAGCTAAGGAAAGTGCTTGAGGTCCACAACATCATTTTGGTGCCTCTTGTTCCGCACGCATCCCATGTTCTTCAACCTTTGGACATTGGGGTGTTTGCGGTTCAAAAAGGTATTATCCGAAATGCTCAGGTTGTAGAGGACAAAGAGGATATGCATGATTCTCTTGGAGGAAATGAAAAGAAAGACAAAGGTGAAGGAATTGATGGCGAGGAATGGATGAATGAAAATTGGGAAAAAGAGGAAAGTGAAGTGAAAGTGAATCGATTTGAAAAGTACCAAATTGAGATACTGACCGCCTTCCACAAGTCGACTTCAATTGTATCGTGCTCTTCGGCTTTTAAGGGTGCGGGTATAACATTCAAATACGACTCGGAAAAGAAAGAGTACTTTTGTCAAGTTGATCCCTTCAAGTGTAAAAGATTGAGGGAAGAATTCCCTCTCCTTTTCAAGGATCTGAATTTTATTTCCTTTTTTAGTTCAATAACTCCAATAAAACTAAAAAGAAGGTTTAAATATGAAGACCTTCCAACTCCCAGGGTTTCTATAACAGCTATTAAAGTCTGTGAACTGCGAAAAAAACAGACTCATCAAACAAACGATCTAAACATCGACGACGAAGTACAATTGTTGTTAGACTGCGAAGTCGACGAACAAATCAACCAAGAAAGTCTGTCTAAAATACGTTTGTATTTGAAGCCCGAACCCCCCCAAACCCAAATCTACAAGAGGAAGGAAAAAAGGCAGTAAGAACAAGACTCCTGAAGAAAAATCAATATTAGAAAAGAAACCAAAAAACCCAAGAGGTCGACCCCGAAAAGCAAATTAACTCATTTTTTGTTATTCCCTTTTGTTATTCATTTTTGTTATTCATTTTTGTTATTCATTTTTGTTATTCATTTTTGTTATTCATTTTTGTTATATATAACATAATAATAACATTTTGATGAAAAATACCAATTAATTTATCGTTTTTTTCAAGACAGGTTTTTTCGAACGAGACACCTTTTTGTTATGACTGTAGTTAAAACAATAAAAGATCTTAAAGAAAACAAAAAACACATTCAATTCATTATAATATAATATAGTTAAAGAATTTAATTTTTTTTATAGCTTTGAAATTAATAATTTTTATAGTTAAATTTAATATTATTTTAATATTATTTTAATTATATTATTTGGTTTATTATTATTTTATAAATCAAAATTATAATAAACAAACATAAAGAAAACCTTTGTTTTGAAAAAATAATAATTTATTAACTAATTAATTAACTATATTAAAAAAAAACACCGAAATGTTTTTTTAATTCATCACATGGCAAATAATTTTTCTTTCATTTCTTTATTAGAAGGTAAATGCAAAATATCGGGAACGCTTACCAAACAATAAAAAAAGCACTCAAAATGCTCTTTTAAAAAAACAAAGACGAATAGAATCAAAGAATTAATTATAAGTACTAATTAAATCTAACTCTTCTTTTAATCGAAATAAATACACAACCAATGTCAACCGAACAACTCACACAAAAGAAGCGTCTTGAACCGTTTTATTTAATGAACGTAGTCTTATACATCGACTCATTCAATACACTTCAAAAGTTTCATATGGTTAGTAAAGCAACTAATCAAGCCATTATAAGTCTCAAAACGAATCCAGAACTTGGGCAATCTTCCATTCGAATAGCCATCGCTTATAATGGTTTTAACAAGTTAAAATTGATTAAAAAGGAGTTAAATATCTTCACTGGAATTGAAACACTCAACCTTCCCAGTGATATTCTAACTCAACTTGACTCTTCTACATGTTTGTGACTTCCATTATAGTATTGTTTTATTATAATGAACTAATAAGAATAATATAATTGTAACTGATAGACAACCAAGTCGAATTAATCCAAGTGAACAAATACATTCAACTGATGGACAAAGATAACACTACTGGAAAACAACAAATATTGAAAGACTTGGCCCCAAAGCTTTGTAAAGTCGCATTTGATGTCATGAACGCCGAGTTTTTGCTTTCAACAACATTCGAAAAGTTGCGAGAAGTTACCATCAATGTCGCACTTTTTACAATCACTGAAGATTCAATTACAAAGTACTTAGAATTCATCAAGGAGACTAAATGTATTAAAAAGGCGACAATCATTTTCAATGGAAACAAAGTTGTGGCAATTTCAAAATTTTTAGAAAACTACAAATCCGAAGTTTTAGCAGTTCACTTGCAATGCTTCATGTTGTATGAACTCGACCCCTCGCGTTTATTAGAAATGGCAGACAAAACAGACTTCCCAGTCGCCGTTTGGGACACTACTGTTTGTAAACTAGAAAATTGGATGCTTGATAAGAGAATAGTCGTTCTCCCTGTCGTCCACAATAGAATGCACGTCACTTCTGCTATGGAAAACTCCCCACTTTATAAGCAATTCAAAGAGAAGTATCTTATACAACTCAATTGACAGTTCGTTTGTGTTATATATAACATTTTAAATAAAATGTTATATATAACAAAAAATAAGTGAGGTATTAAAAACATTTTTTAAAATTTTCAGAACAATAAAAACGAAAACTTTGAAAAAGAGAAAAGATGACAACATTTCAAAAGTTGGAGATTGCAGGGATTCGATCGGTGGATTCACATAAACCCGTTGAGATTGAGTTTTTCAAGCCACTCACACTCATCCAAGGACCAAATGGAGCAGGAAAAACAACGTTGATTGAATCGTTGAGGTTTGCATGCACAGGAGTCTACCCACCAAATTCGCAAACCGGAAGACTTTTTTTAAGAGACCCTAACAACTCTCCAACAAGAAAGACGGAAGCATATGTAAAGTTGAAACTTAAAACAGTGAAGGGAGAGGAAGTCGATATCACTCGAAAGGCAAGCGTTTCCCTTGAAAACGGAAAACTCAAGTTGACGACAAAAGAAGTCGAAATTCTGGCGGACGGGAAAGAGGAAAGCAAGGATTTTATCGGGCAAACTGTCGAAACAAGCAACGAAATGCTCTCAAGCGTAATATTTTGCCACCAAGAAGACGCCTCGTGGCCATTTGAAGAAGGAAAGAAGCTAAAAGAGCGGTTCGACGAAATATTTGGAACAACAAAGTACTCCAAACTGATTGAAGACACTCAGAAGGAGATCAAGGACCTCAAATCGCAGCAGAAGGAAACTGAGATAAAGTTCGTTGGCGTAGAAAAGGATTTTATGACACTAAAAGATATCAAGGATGAGATCGTCGAGCTTCAAGGCACTGCTGATTCTTACGAACTCAAAGTTGGCGTGTGTGGCGAGAAAGCAACGAAAATAGCGGAGCGTCTGAAGAAAGCCTCTGAGGATGTTCGTGCATCCCAAGAGTCAGCCTACAAGGTCGATTCGTATCGAACTGAACTTTCCAAGATTGTTCAAGCCTTAAATGGCGTAACCGTTCCGCCAAAGCAAAGTCAGGGTGAACTTGATGCGTTGATTTCTGAAATTGACAACGAGATTGAGAATTTGAGAACAACAACAATCGACACAACGAAGATGTCAAAACTCAAAACAAAAAAAGACGAGCTTCGTCAAAAAATCGACGAAAAAACAAAGGAGCTTGGGGTTCTCAATCACGAGATCGACCAACAAGTCGAAATTTTGTCAAAAATTGAAAAAATGCTTGGCAAGAGTGATAACCCGGATCTCCAGATTGAAGAAACCATCTTAAAAATTGAAAATCGTAAAAAAGAAATTGAGAAGTCCCAGAATGAAGACGACGAAAAGCTCAGAACACTTCAGAATGAGATAAGTGAGATTGAGAGGAAACAAAACGAGAGTTCAAAGAAAAGGTTTGAGATTGAGAAGAACCTTCGAGAGCTCCAGACTCAATTAAAAACCAAAGAAACAACAAAAGATCGTGAGAAGACAAACTACGAAAAAAGTGAGAACGAGATTGAAAAGATGCGAAAGGAGCAAAGTGAGATTGTTTCAAAACTTCAAACCATTGACATGCCTGACGAAAATGACAAAAATCAAGCTGTCAAAACTGTTAAACGCGAAATTGATGAGTTGGACAAAGAGATTGGAAAGGCGATGGAAAATGTCAAAATGCAGGTGGTTCTTGGGAAGCTCAACGAAGAACAGAAGAAAAATGAAGAGATTTTGAAAAATTCAGAGAGTTGTGTAAGAAATGGAGATCTACAAGGCACTGTCGATTATTATATTGAAACTTCAAAAAAGAATAATAAAAAACTTTTAGACGACAAAGCGAGCAAAGAGAATTTATCAAAAACACGGATTGTCTCTTCTGCGAATATTGAGAGACTTGGCGCCGAGTCGCAGCGACTTGAAAATGAAATTCGAGATTTGGAAAGTGAGAAAAATGAATTTGGAGATGAGATTGAAAATGGCGGAACGATTGACGAGCTTAAAGAAATGGAAAAGGGGATTTGGGCGACTGCTGCGCAGCTTTCAGCAAAAGCCAAATCTGCTGGCATATGCCCCGTATGTGGAAATGCCCACATCGACATTTCTTCGGTGGAAAAAAAAGAAAAAGAAAATTCCAAAAAAGCGAAATTTGGAGAGAAAGAGCGGAACGAGCTGAGTCGCCTTGAAGGTGAGGAGAAACGAAGAAAAGAAGTTGAAAAACTTTTAACAGAGAAAAGAAAAGAACTTTCAGAAATTTCTCAGCATTACAAAAATGAAACAGAAAATTTGAGAAGGACGGAACAGCTTGAGAAGGAGAAAATTGAGGAGATTGCAGTGGTGGAACGAGAGTTGCAGGAGGATGATAAAAAGGTGGAAATTTTGAAGTGCGCTGTCGAAGCAAAAAGCAAACTTGCTAAGATCGAGGAGAGCAAACTGAAACTCAAAATCAACGACACGAAAAGTGTTGAGACTCTGAGTACCATGAAAAAGGTTGCCAACGATAAGTTGAATAAACTC